AGAGATCTCGACGACAGCCTTCGGTGATTTCATGAGTAATATAAACATAATTATAGTTATAATTGCTCTGACTTTAAAACTGGGAAAAGGGTTTTGTCGACTGTTTTTGCTCCTAGAAATGACTAAACCATGTCATGTGTTACAATCGGCCAGTTTTCGATCACTTACATCCATCTTAAAATGATTAAGAGTTTTTGTTGGACACGAAGGTAGGCTTGTGCACTTTCAGTGTACCGCACCGTGTGCGTCTCTCTCACATGCTCGAACCCAATCTTTTCTTAGGATTAATCGTCTTGTCATCAACACTCCACTCGCACCTTTGTGACCTGTGTTATTGAGGGCAGTGCAACCGGTCTGTTGGACTACTTTCCAAAGGATTTGTCCCAACTGGGTCTTAAGGTAGAATTGTTACCCGTTTTTTAGTCCCTGGTTCACTTCACAACTTTCTTCTTGGACATTCTCCGTATGAGTTGGAACTGTCCTACATTCTACGAAATCGCACCAGATTTCCCCTCTCATAATTTGGCTGCCCACCAATGATATTCAGTTTTCCTGAACGTTCTGATGAGGTTTCATATTAGAGGACTTTGGGCACCCCGAAATAGATTTCACTTCATTTATGTGGATAATATATTTCACCGTCCCTCCACTCTTCGGACAAATCTTTTTACATAGTCTTTCTTGTTCCTTGTTCATAACTCATTCTTGGTAACTCGTCATCATTCTCCTCGTTCACGTCATTAGTCGTTACTATACAGCGAATCAACAAACGCTAAATTGGCGATATCGCTCGCATGGTCCGAGTTTAGTTACCGTTCCATCTCAGCGGGGTAGCCTTGCTGTGACCTGTATCACCATAAATACTTTTGGTCTTGACATCTTTTCACTATGTCATCATCATCACTATACACGTTAGCTGGAGATGGGAAACACCTCAGCTACTGTGCCGCAATACATAAAAGAAATGGAAAATAAATACAACAGTTGCATACTAGCTGAGCTACCAGCAACGGATAGGCATCGTACTGGTCAGCTACCAGTTGGCTACTAGGCAACAAGGAAACTAATTATGTAAAATTATATTACGCTACGAAATGAAATCTTAGTTGAAGGAGGCTCAAAGGGATGGGGAGGGAAAAAGAAACTCACAGCAGGAACGCCACTGAAGTCGGCTCCTAGCCATGTCAGCAAGTGTATCTAGCCAACCGTGCTCACCGTCTTTTGGACCCCAACCAGGCCAAGGAAGCTCCAACCGAGGCCAGCTCCGAAGTGAGGGCCTTCATTCCTCTCGACCAAGTCATCGCTTGGCCACCTCTCCTCTTCTTCCATCCACACCCCCGGCGCGCAAACAACGCACGTCGAAGGAGTCGGTGGACTGGTATGCGTGACACGTGGCCGAGGCATCGGAGCCTGGTGCGTGAAATAACGGTGCTGAGCGGTTCAATTCCTCTTCCTGTGCCGTAAACAAGGTGTCGAACACGTTCATTGCTCACTCGGTGTTCCCACCAGATGTGAGCTAAATTGCGAAGGCACCGGTGGTCGAACGTAACTAGCCTCTTTATGTCCGCTGATCTTAGGGGCCATGTATTGCAACCGTACAGTAAGGTCGAACGTACCGATGCGTTGTACACTCTACCCTTCAGGGCGAGTGTGATGTCGCGCCGCCCCTGTAGACGGTGAAGGTTTGCAAAAGCACTTCGAGCTTTTGCTATGCGGTTCATGATCTCATCTTCAATCCCAAATGCGCTGATACAACTCATCAGGTAGTTGAATTTCTGAAGGACTTTTAGCTGACCCCTACCAAGGGTCAGCGTAGGAGGCGATTCCTGCCAATCATGGAGGAAAGCTTCGCATTTCGATGGTGCAAAGCAAAGCCCGAAGCGGCTGACAGCCAGTGCTAATTTGTCCGGTGCAGCTTGACACATCTCGGAGCTGTCACAGATGAGAGTAATGTCATCTGTATTCTCCACGTCAAGAAGCCGTTCTCCTGGGAATTGGTCTACACCTTCTAAGTCATGTCCTGTAAATGCAATCTCCATGACTTCGTCAATAGCGAGATTGAAAAGAAAATGTGACAACGAGCATCCTTGTCTCACACAGCTGGAGATATTGAATGGTGGCGACAGCTTGCCGTAAACCCTCACTTTGCCTGTGCTGCGCGCAAATAATACTCGGATAATATTTATATATTTGTCAGACACACCTTTCCTAAGTAGACAATTGCAAAGGGCACATCGATCAACCGAATCGAACGCACCTTTGATGGCGAGGAACACGACAACGGTGGGCCACCAATATGTGTGACGGTGCTCCAACAACTGACGCAAAGTGAAGATGTGGTCGATGCAGCCACGACCCCGACGAAACCCGGCCTGATCCTCCCGAATCTGGCTTTCATGAGCGCCAGTCAGTCTGTGAAAGATTACGGCGGCGAGTAATTTGTAGGCGTTGGAGATCAGACTGATTCTTCTATGGTTACCGCATTCGAAACGCGAGCCTCCTTTGGAGATGGGAACAATAACGGAGCGACTCCAGTCGGTTGTGACAGTTTCCTGCTCCCACAGTTCCACTACTAATTCATATAAAGCATCAACAACAGCAGGTCCGTCTAATTTGAACAGGGCTGGATGAAGATCATCTGGTCCAGTGGCTTTATTCGAGTTCAACAGTCCGATCTCACGTTCGACTTCTGAGCGAGGGCGGATCCAAAGCGACAGCCCAAGGAGCACGGCGATCACTGGCCGGCGAGGAATCTTATAATTACGGCCGATTAAATTGCTGTTCGAAATGCTCAGCCCAACGCTCCAAACGTTTTGATAAATTGTGCATAGGCTGCCCACTCTCGTCACGTATAGTTTCACTAACAGCAGGTCTTCTGTTGCCCGTTTCCCGTATCTGACGGAATAACTTGCGATGGTTGCCAAGGGCAGCGACCACTTCCATCTCTGACGCACGATGATACTGCCAAGATTCGCGGTCTTTCTTCAGGCTAGAATGGAGTCTTGTCCGGAGCTCTTTGCGAGTTTCATTATGTTCGCTTCCAGCCGGAATATGCCGGCGAGCATCGATAAGTTCCAGAGACTGTGAAGAGACCCAATGTCCATGTTGGCTATTAGACATACCACATGAGGATTTTCCTGGTGCTAGTAAGGTTTGGTGAATATGTGACCAGTGACCTTCATTTGACTCCAGTGAGCGCTTACTCAACTCGCATGTCAACGTACTTCGATAGGCATTCAGAACAGTTGGCTTTGTCAGTTGGCAGGTGTCAATGCGCTCACAGCGTCGTCGTGGGCGTCCGCCAAAACGCATCCGCAGATCAACACATACAAGTGCATGTTCGGTGTCCAGACATGTGGTCCAAATCGAACGACAGTTTTGGATGCAGCCTCTGCAGCGGTAACTGATTGCAATGTGATCGATCTGCGTCCAAGGTTGGTTCGAGGCTGGTGGGCGCCAAGTCACCCTCCGGCGAGTGCTGTGTCGGAAGTTAGTGCTCGCAAGAAATAAGCGAGCATCTTCATACAAATGAATTAACCGCTCACCGTTATCATTACGGGAGTCTACACCGTGCTGATCGCCCAGATGCATTTCATCAGTGGACAACTTTCCAACTTGTGTGTTCAGATCCCCATCCAACACAACAGTGTCCGTGCTTCTTCTGTGGCGAAGGATATGGGTCAGTTGGAGGTAGAAGTCCCTCTTTACCGTATCATCGCTACAGTTTGTGGGCGCGTAGTCAGCGATGATGAATAGACACCTGTTAGTCCCGTTCGACTTCGAAGCTTTGAACGAGCCAGCCAACCGGACCGCACGCATCCGGCTACTGATTGGAATCCAGTCAACCAGAGCAGCTTCAGCCCGGATACTCAGGGCAATGCCAACACCAGCTTGACCGGTGCTCGAAGCTGCATCGTCACCGGATATGCGCATTGAGAAAATACTGGTTGTGTGTTTGTGATTGAGTGAGCACAGAGCTCGAGTCTTTCAGGCGGGTCTCCGATAAGCATCAGATATTAATCGAGATGGTCTCTAATGTTCGGGCAACTGCTGCCTGTTGGCTGATTTATAGCACTGTGCCTATATTGAGGTATGCCAATCTGAAGGAGGATCGTGGGCTCCAAATGGAAGCCGAGGAACTGGAATGGACCGCTTGGTTAAACATGGGTTTGTCGACAGGACAGGAATGACGCTCTTCATTCGAATGTGAATGGAAGCTAGAAGATAAACGCCTAGCAAAGCATGTTGGGGGAGGGCCAAGAATTTTTGGCTTGAAAACTTGGGTGATAACAGTGAAGTTGGAACAGGACAAATAGGGAGAAAAAGCGTAAGAGACGGAATAGGAAGCCGAGATGGCTTGAGCAGTGGCATCCAAGCCCCTATCTACTCTGCTCGATGCAGCAGAGAGGGCACCGTTGCTTAGCCTCCGCGGTTGCCCGAGCATCAGCAATTTGTTTGAAGAGAGATACACTCATTTCTGAATCCCCCGTTGTCATTGGAGTTGTATATTACCGTTTTGACCATCACTGGCTACTGAACAGATGTTTCACCCATTGAGTGGGACACTGGTCATCATCGATTAATTTGGTTGGTTAAAAGCACTTCAGCCCATACACATGACTTCCGATCACACGACGATTGCTTCGGCGCACGTTTCGTGTTTGGTCGTTTGGCCCTGTCACATTAGTATCTTCGCAAGCGTGTTCGAGGGCTTCCATGAGCGATAATTTGAGATCTTGTTTGATCTCCTACAGTCCACCTCATTCTTCCGTTGGCTGTAGTACACAACGCTTGCGTCCTTTGTTAGCACTGCTGATGGCGTGCACAAGTTCAGGGTGCCCAGGTACGAAGCATGTGTACGGGATTATGTACTATAGATGTTTAATATCGAACGTTACATTCTTCATATTGCGATTCTTTCCCACCGTAATGCCGTCGAGTACATTTGTTCCCAAACGAATGAGAACCACCTCCGTTTTCCTCTCCTTTTTTTACCGTAGCCCCCACCCGACTCCATTCCGACTTCAGAATCCAGACCGGAATTGATGAGACCCGACAGTGACGCTGATGACACTGGATTTGAGGACGAGGATGTACAAATCAATGATCCATTCGATGACTCGTAAGCGCCTCGCGTACTTTTCAACCGCTTTTTACTTTTCACCGTTGTCTACTTTCACAGAGCCTACGGGCCTCTCTTGATCACCCTATTTCCTTCCTTGTCTATTAGTTGCCTCTTTAATCTTTCTTCAGTTGCCTTATCCATTGCTGTTTGTTCACTAGGCACAGCTCCGTAAAGATTAAGTAAGAGCAACAGTGTGTGCTCTATGCGATTAGTCTAGGAGGTTCACCGGTATGACCGTATTTCTAGTGACTTATTCCTTCGGCTTCCGAAATATGGTCCCCTTCTGGGGTCCGCTGGTAAGGAAGACTCGTAAACCTCGTGTTATCCAAAGAAAGTTTTAAGTTATCATATAAAAATGTTCACAACCATAGCATACTGATGTCGGTCCGACTCACATGAGTCTTTGTGAGTTTCTGGTTTAGTACTATAGTTTTCCGACTAAACAAGAAAGAGGAAAAAGCGATTGCTGACTAATGACATGTCTGTCAAGTGATATTGTGAACTACGATAGTATATGTACGTATGTATATGGTTGGCGGCATCCGGTTTCGGATTTGCTTGTCACTGTGGCCAGCCACAGGACCCCTGCGCCTACAGAGGGACAATGGATGGCTTGTGCTGCACCACCCACAGATCCATCCACACACCCCATATCCAGTGTAAACCCGAAGGAATAAGACCAGGAGGCATGTAGATGAGAGCCACGTTTCATCAACAGAGCCGGCCCACACTCCTTCACAGGCAAACACAAGCACGCTGTATTTGGGGAATCAAGTGCACACAAGGCGGTGGTTGGACCGTAGTCCGCTCCACACTGAGTGCATGGAACCACTCTTTGATCCTAACATGGCCACAAGGACCGTACACCCCGTCCCCTCCAGCAACTACCAACTGTCTCCTGGAGATAGTATGGACGAAGTAGGTGGGTAACAGACAGGTAGGCACCTTGTCAACATGCATATCAAGCGCAGCCAGACCGGGGATATCAAACAACAGTCAAACACTTGAAACGACGAAGTGAAATAAATCCAATAATGCACACAGATACGCTGACATAACTCTTCACTAAATTAGCATATGAATTAAGTTGGTTAGCAACGAATCCGCGATAAGGAAAATATATCCACAAGTTAGTTAAAAATGCTACAAAACGCAACAAAGTTACCGAAGATAAGCGCAATTAATGTAAGCAACGTGGCCAGTTAATAGAAGGTAGGCAGGTAGGCAGTACAAACCAAATAAAGTTGAATGAAATTTAGCCAGCTTAAAAAGACCTAGTTTGAGTGTAAGTTCGTTTAGCCCAACTGCGGTGAAAAAGTGTCGTGAATGCAACATTAGCCTCAGCATGGGCATATATATATATATATATATCAGTCGGACAGAAGGGTGACAGTGAATGACATTGCAAGGACTTTGAGCTTATCTGATGGGGCGGCACACAAAATTGTCCATGTCATTTACTGTCACCCTTCTGTCCGACTGAATGAGGTCATTGACTGATTCGATCACCTCAGGATACCTCACTTCTGTAGGCCTTCCAGGCCTGTCTTTATCCTCAATACTGCTCCGTCCTTCTTTAAATAATTTTGCCCACCTGTAGACATTTTCTCGGCTGAAACATGTGACACTATCCATAGTTGACATTCTCCTATGTATTTCAACTGGTTTGCACTCTTCAGCAACCAAAAACTTGATAACTGACCGCTGTTCAATCCTGGAGCATGCTTCTTGGTTGGCCATCTTTGTTAATCGCTACAACTCTCAAAGTTTATTTTCAATCTGCAAAAGAAATTACATCCATGTGAAAAAGAAGTAAAACAACAAAAATAAACAAAAAGTAAGCTTCTATCTGTATCAGAAGTCCTTATAATAAAACAATCACCTTATTTATTGAATGACCCTCGTATATATATATATATATATATATATATATATATATATATATATATATATATATATATATATATATATATATATATATATGCCCCATGCTGAGGCTGATGTTGCATTCACGACGCTTCTTCACCGCAGTTGGGCTAAACCAACTTACACTTAAACTAGGTCTTTTTAATGTGGATAAAATTCATTACATTTTATTTGGTTTATTTTGCGTACTTGATAATCTTCTCCCCACTTGCACACGTCGCTCATGCAAATTGTGGTAAACTTGCGTAATTGTATCACGTGTTATTTTGTTAAATAACTTAGACATTTCGTACTTATCACGGATTCACTTTTAACCAATTTCTTCTATATGCTCATTTAGCGAGTATTTATGTCGTCATATGTGTTTACTTTATTCGATATCGGCATTTTGAATGATTGGCTGTTGTTTGACATCCCAGGTGTGGCTGCGCTTGATGTGCATGTTGACAAGGTGCCTACCTGTCTATTACCCACTACCTCGTCTTATCTGGCTCCAGGAGACAGTTGGTCATTGCTGGAGGGCACGGGGTGCACTATCCTTGTGACCGTGCTAGGCTTGAAGAGCGGTTCCATGCACTCAGTGTGGAGTGGATTACGATCCAGCCACCGGCTTGTGTGCGCTTGATTCTCAAATACAGCGTGTTAATTGTTGCCTATGAAGGAGTGTGGGCCGGCTCCGTGGATGAAACGTGGCTCCCATCCGCATGCCTCCCGGTCTTATTCCTTCGGGTTTACACTGGATATGGTTTGTGTGGTTGGAGCTGTGGGCGGTGCAGCGCAAGCCATCCGTGGTCCCTCTGTAGGCGCAGGCTTCCTGTGGTTGGCCACAGTGACAGGCAAATCCGAAACCGGATGCCGCTAACCATATATATATATATATATATATATATATATAGCCAAACCTCCGTAAGTTGATCACTCAATGGACTGGACCAAACTGGCGAACTTACAATGGTCTGGATCCATAAGATTTACATGGTAAACGTTCAAGCGACAAAAAACGACCGCCCAACTTAGTGAAATTATCAGGATATAGAGGTGGTCTGCTTCGGAGGTTTCCCTGTATGTCTGGTCGGCGTTATCCTTTTCCCGGATTACTTGTCTACGTGGCTGCAAACAGTCACAGGACGCCTGCGCCTACTGAGGGACCATGGGTGGCTTGCGCTTTCCCATCCAGTGTAAACCCGAAGGAATAAGACCAGGATGCATGTGGATAGGAGCCACGTTTCACCAACGGAGCCGGCCCACGCTTTTCAACATGCACAGCTGCATTATTCCTGTCTATCTCTTTAGGGAATCATGCGTACCACACTTACACTAGGCGGTGTCTTCGCCATAGCTCGCTCCACACTGGATGGAACCACTCTGAACCTAATACTGTCAATTAAACCGCACCCGTTACCGAGCAACGAATAGCAGTCTACTTGAACCAGTAAGTTAAACGGCGGTTTTCCGCTAGTAGGCACGTTGTCAACATTCACATCAAACTCTCCCAGACTGGAGATATCAGGCGACGAACGCTGTCAAATAGGCATTAACCCAAATAGGTACGTGTACAGACCAGCTTCAGCGACGATATGCGCACGTCCCACATCTACCGCATTATTCGCTTGGGTTAGTAGCTTTGTCCGAAAGCAGCGTACATGCGCTACGTCGCTACACACTCATTAAGCTTACCCGTCGCCTCTTCGATATTGCCCCCCCCCGTGGCCTCGTCATCTAGAGTCAAGGGATTATCAAGGGACTGATAATTCTGCGACAGTGCCTTGCACGTGTAATATGCGTTGCGCATTCCAAGTGCATGGACCATTTTATGAACTTTTTCACAGTAGAGTGAGTGTCCTTGTCATTGATACCTGCGCGATGCCGCTGATAGATGATAAATCTGACGTTCCTTATCTCGGTTTTCGTTCAGGCTGTTTCTGATTAATCCATCACATTACCATTTTGCTGGTCATGTCTTCGTCTATCGTTTCGTTTACTACATGCATCGGTTAATAGGCTTCTCACCTGATTCGTTTCGATCGATCGTTTACCATTTTATTAGTTGCATTGCATACTTTCTAGTGAACCTTCTCTCCCTTTTGTGCTCTGCCATACTGGTGCTTCGTCGTCTACAAATGGATGCACCTGGGATGATCGGGTCTGTGTTCTGACACGTTGCAACTATGTGCCTGACTGCGCCTGATTACCCTTTTTTTCTTTTGTTCTGTACCATGGGCGCTCTTGTTGTAGTCACTTTTATCTCTCCGGTTGCAGTTCATTTGAACCTCATTGGTGTGCTTCGACACACGAGCGACAGGAACCTACACTTTGTGCTTCATCTGTTTGTTGTTTTTGAGGTTTATCGTCGTGCAATTTCTCCCATTTCTGTCTTGTTTTGCGCCCTATTGATAACCTTTCGGTAGGCTGTTCACTTACGATGTATTTTTATATGTTCTCTCAGTTACTTATCCGCAGAACGAGCAGAATAGGCGCAGAGATTGTTTACTCCTGGTGGTTCACTTGACTACGAGACTTACTAACTCGGTTTGTTAATACGCTATATTCATCTTCTTATTTTCCGGTCAACATTCCTTGTCCAACAGTGATGTGCCTTGTAGTTAGTCCATGTCGCATCATCACCTCAGTCCTGTTTTGTATGCGGTGGTTTTCCCCCTTCCTACTACTGTAGTGCCTCGTCCGATGATCGCCCCGAATATGACGGCATTTCAACGCATGACGCCGAACAGCTTGAGAAACTGAAGGCCACACGTCTCCAACTTTGCTCTGAGGTAGGTCGTTGTTCATCTGGCCGCACTTGTTGGACATTTTTCTCACATGTCTCCTATTCGAAGCCCTCTCACACCTGTTTATTACTCCCTGTCTACCAGTTTACATTACCTACTCGGCTTTTCTGTCATTTCGCTGCTCACGAACCTCAATCATTAGTACCGTCATCATTCGTCGGCATTTCCATCAGGCTCTTTACTAACGATACTTCGCTGAATCCACACTGTAGGGTAGCTCAAACACACACCCATTGATCATCATCCAATTGTGCTGTTGGTTGTGTCCTTTTACGTGCGTTCCCGCTCTCCACAATCTCCTCGGACCTGATGCAGCCGAGTGACCAGAATCATTTTCCTTACTCTTTGTTTTCGGATTGCCAACAACAATTTAAAGCTGTTCAACCTCTCTTTTCTCAACTTACGGTGCCAATTCCTGTGTGAGAATCGGACAAAGGGATCGTTTGAACCGCCCCAATGTTTTTTTACCAGGGGTTGGTAGATTTGGTCTGTCTTCTCTGCACGTTTTTCCTCCGGTTTTATGTTTTTCGATACTTTGTTTCACTCATGCTCACTCGCCTCCCTGCTCCTTCTCCTCACACCATCACGCCGACCGTGGGCTGTCGCTGCTATTTTTACCCACGCTGTGACCGGCACTGTATCACATCCAGTAACTTATTCATCTCAGTCCTTGTTGTCCCCCGTAGCTCTGTGGTCTTAAGCACAGACTAGAAACAGCCGAGTGGTGAGCTCTAGCCCTACCAGGATCAGATAGAATGCGCACTGCTGACGATTCCCGAAACGATGAAACGGCCGCACAGTGCTTTTCTTTGCTTGTGATTTCTGTCTGAGTGAGTCTAGATGTGTTGAATTTCTACCCACACCATTCAAGTCCCTTTACTACTTTTCTGTAACTCTCTTACTTGTGGGCATCAACCTATGCATCAGTCTACCCTTGTCCTTCTCCTTGATTCCGTGTGGTAGGGTTCCATGTTTTTATGGAGTGACAAGCGTTGGCTAATGCACCGAATCAGTCTTTACACAACGAGATTTGGTGGTGGATATATTAAGAGGTGAACATACGAGCTCCATGTTAAATACCGATCATTTATCGCACCCACTGCCTGAATTCTCTCTTCCTGCGCAACTTTTTTCAACACCTGCTCGTTTATTGTTCCATGTTGAACCGTTCACCGTACCCCACCTCTCTTGTTCCCGTACGTTCTGTGCTGCCACAGCTTGCTCAGTCGCTGGCGAATCAGACAGTCTGTCCACTTAACTCACGTGGTGATTGCATCCGGGCACTTTTTCTTCCTCGCAACTGACTGTGTTCAAATGAACAGCCACTTGACATCCTCGATTCCTCCGACCCCAAGTCCCATCACTCTTCTCTTTTAATCTTATTCTAGTCATCACACCTTCAACTCTCATTCTAGATGTGTGATTAATAGATACAGGTTTTCATTTAGTTACTTATTCCACCCACCGAACGTACCTCAGTTCTCTTGATAACATCCTTCCCTCCAGTACCAAGTCCTAAGCCATATTCAAACGACCTTTTACTTCATACGTACCCTGGCTTGGCTGACTAGGCCTGCCTGACTCAAGCACTCGAGGCCGCATGTGCTATAGCACCATGCACTCGATGTCGATGGAGTACACCCCATGAGCACCTTCCGCTCCTTCTTCACATGCACTAGGGCTTTTTCCTGCACCTTGGCAGCTACCACCGTGATCAAATCGCGCCATATACACCGATCAACCGCCTTCGATTCCCAACACCTGAAATCTACATTAGAGCGTTATTTGGCTCAAGTTGATCATGCCCTGGAAATGATGCTTCGATTTTCGCACATGCCGCTTCCCTACATTCAGCAGCTGCTTCGGTACCTCCGTCCAATCCATTCCGCACACATGACTGCGCGACCTCAGATGTCAGCAAAACTATGCAGTCCACTGCACACATTCTACTTCGATGCGACCCTCGTTTCCGCAACTCTGTCGCACCAACCAATGCGCAAAATCCGTCGCAGACACTGTTGATGAAGCCGCTCGAGATATCGCACATCCTGCCGGTATATTCTCCAGGTTTCGCTGCCCTATAGAAGAACGGACAGCACCATGCTTTTGTACACCATCAGCTTCATGTCGACGGTAAGCTGGTGGTTGTTCCACACTCGGTACTCAAGCTTCCCGAATGCCGCCGCTGCCTTCGGTATGCTGATACGCATCTCACCTTATCTTTGTTTGGCCGACACCACACTCCCAAGGTAGCAGAAGCGGGAGGTGGTTTCCAATACGTCATCACCAGTGCTGATTTGCATCACCGTTGCACATTGCATCCCCGGTTAAGGCTGAAAGAGACAGCTAGTTTTGCTTTTGTTGACGGTGAGCCCCAATTTGCCCGCTGTCGAAGCCAGAGCACTAGTCATGTGCTGCAACTCATCCACGCTGTGTGCAAGCAACGCACAGTCGTCAGCAAACAGCAACATATTGATAGTTGTCTCACATACCATATTTCTGGCACAGAAACGACGGATGTTCAGTAACTCTGCATCAACACAATGCTCCACACGAACAGCTTAAACACAAGCCACATCAAACGCACACGACATCATGGTGTGAAAATATATATAGAGCAGGAGCTAAGACACTGCCTTACTTCACACCAGTGACAACTGCAAAGTCATCCGAGGTCTCTCCACTCAGCTGCACCATCGCCCGCCTACCACTGTGCAGACATTCGATTAAACTTACAAACTTACCCAACACTAGCCACAATGCCATATGGTTCACCGTATCAAATGCCTTGGTGAAATCAACAGAAAGCGAGTACAACGGCTAGTGTCGTTCTCTGCACTTCTCCTGCAACTGACGAGCCGCAAACACCATATCTATAATGCTGCGACCCGAACGGAATCCACACTGCTCTTCCGCCACGTTCGGTTTCACAACCTGACTGACGAGGCGGTTGAGCCGGATTCGGGCAATCACCTTGCCCACACAACTCAGGAAGTTGATGCCACGATAATTCGTGTAACATTGCTTGCTCCCTTTACCCTTGTACAGTGATAGCACAGGTGCACCCTTCAGTTCACGAGGCACCTCCTCCTCAATCCATACGCGTTGCATCAAGTGGTGCAGCGCAGTCAACAACGCGGGTCCACCGTGTTTCAATACTTCAGGCGGGATCCCGTCGGCACCGGCACACTTGCCGTTTTGCAGCTGAGCAAGCGCTCTCTGCGTCTCATCCAGTGTCGGCATGTCCGCCAGACTCGCCTTGACATCGTGCTGCTTGAGGCCGTTCAATGTAGGCCATTCGATCTCTGAACGGTTGTTCGTGAGACGGTCAAAGTGATTTCGCCAGATCTGCATTATGTCTGCAGTCTGTGTGCAGGTAGCACCTGACCTGCCATCGAACAACGCCCTCAGCGGCTCCATGGCTTATACATGGACTTTCAGGAGTCAGAGGATTCCTAGTGTTGGCGACGTTCGGCGTAGGATTCCATCTGCTTCGCCTTCTCCGTCCACCATGCATTTTTAATGCGACGGAGCTCTCGGGTCAGTCGCCGTCGAAGTTTGCGAGACTGACTCTTCTTCTCCAAGTCGATGAGGTCTGCGACATGTGCAGGAATGCTGCATTCTTCTCAGACACTAATGCGCCGATCGTCGCATTGTTCTCATCAAACCGATCAGGTTGTTTACAGTTTTCGCACCCGATGGTCTCCTCGGCAGCGGCTGTCACCTGGTCGCGAGTGTGGTGCCACAGGTCGCACACTGTGGCTATGCATTCCACATTACACCGGAGTGCAGCCATCGCGTTCTCCAGCTCAATACGTTTCTCCGCAGTACCGAGGGAGAGAATGTAAAATTTACACCTCCGTTTCACGACTGGAGTGTAATACATCGATTTACGAAAATATATATACAGTTTGGTCCGCACCAACATGTGATCTGTGCCCCACAGCTCCACGCAATAAACGTGTCATGCGCACTTCACGCATGTCACGCTGACGTACGATGACAGTCGAGCAGGTGAGTGTGATCACCCGTGTGTACGTTCAATTTGCTATATCACTCACACTCAGTTCAAACCGGGTGTTCGTGATCGTCAGGCCGTGAGTGGCACACTGAAAGCAGCCTGTCACCGTTTGCATTCGGTGAACCAATGCCATGTGGACGGATGACCTGTCCACACCAATGTATCACGCCCAACGCACGCGTCGAAATCACCCAGCAGAAATAGTCGGTCGCTTCTCGGCACAGACCATATCACGGTGGTTAGCTGTGTAGAGTTGATCACGCGTGTCATCATGAAAACACATGGTCGGACCGTACGTGTTTATAAAAGTGGCAAACTTACCTCTTCCGAGTCGTAGGCGAGCAGTCATCAGTCGCTCGCTGGTGCCTGTTGGTTCACCCACCAGCTGGCCATGGAGGCGATCGGATATTGCAAATCCGACCGCATGTTCATGTGGTGCTATACACATATACATTCATGAGGAAATTGGCATCTCTGTCAGGCCATAATCTATGAAACACCTCTCAAAATCTTGATGAGCTGCAGTTCTGTGAGTATTGACTCTGTTTGGCAAATTCTTGCACGTGCCAATACTCGCGGAATGTGAAACGAAAAACAAACCAGCTGGTTGTGAGACTACACTGAACTTTCTAAAGCATTCGAATTACCTAGCGGTGTGTTTACTTCTCAAGGCCATCTGCGGCAAGTGACGACAGTAGCTGCAAACTTTTAGCTTTTAGACACGTGCACTTTTTGGTAAATCCTTTTTTAGTTTCAGTTCCTCGTTGTGATTTCTGCCGTTCACTCACCTCTTAACCTCCTTTTTATTTCTGTTCTGTTTGTATCCTGCCTCTTGTTCTCTCTGCTTGCTTTTTGTTGTTACCCTGGCGATGCGATTCGTGACAACTGGATCCACTGCACTCCAGTGTGTGGATCTTAATTGTTTAACTAAACCGGACTGAGCTTACAGAGCCAGCCATTGAACTGAGAGCAGCACTGCTCCTTCACCCAGACGAAAATGTCGTACGATTACGGAAAAATGCATACAATGAACAGAGTTCGTGTGACATAAAGCAGGTTGACTGTACATCCGGCTCCTGTTTCCACATTGCTTTTACTGTGGCACGGGTGTCTTATTGACTGCATTTTCACGAGTGGAATATCACGTCTTTCTAACAGCGCATAAGAAGCGAATAAAGCATAGAGAAAGATTTAACGTTTTAGAAAGAAGTTGCTGATCTGTGAACATAAGTGAATCCATGTATTATACACCCATTACGAGCTACGGTGGCTATTGAAGGTAACATTCACTCAGTTGAAAGGGGCCAGACATACTTCGGAAAAGAGATTAACTCAATAGTTAATGTATACTTCTGTTGAACCCACAAACATCACACGGTATAATAGCCTTTGATGTAGAAGGCGTAAATACTTTTAAACGCCAGATCTGACTAACCTACAACTCTTTTTGACTACATATCTACCTCACACTCATTGATCGAACCAACTTTGTGAGAACATTGAACCTTATGTGAAATAGTACTCTCTCTTTGGACGTGCATTAGCTTCTCTTCTGTCTTGTGTAGCGAAGTCGTTATCGCTCTGTTGCCAACCGACTTCACAAGGCGAATCGTATGATTAGTCGCGTTTTAGAAATTATGTATTAACACTGATTGAAGGATTCTGCGGCTAGAATCATGCGTTCCAACATTCAGCCCTATGAATTAGTAATCTGCCTTGCATTGTAACCGGTTAAGTAGGTGTTTCATTGGGGAAACCCTAGTACAATCCCTCGGTTTGACAGTCTGCTTAACACGACAGTAGGTGATCGCCCGGTTTAGGACCGCGACTGCATAGATTCAGCTGGTTTAATGGATATTGGTCACCTACCAACTCAACTATTTTTGATTACTCCGCTAGTGTCTTTCTATCGTACACTTCCTCAACCGTAGTAAGCTATCTGATTGAAGGCGAGCCGTTATCAAGCAGTGTGTAACTTGGTGCTCAGTGTCAGCGGACTAAGCTGACAGTCCTTTTGTCATATCCTACAGCCACCACTGGCACTAGGTGATGAGACCAAGTTTGGATGATGTCTAACCATGTATTGGTGTTTTATGAATAATTCTACGGACTTTTATAGAGTGTCTTCCTCATAAGCACACAAATCATTACATAAATCTAGGGTCTGTTTTCGTGCGTACACAATCAGATTATGATGCCCCTGTCCGTTCGGGTGTAAAAGCCTTTTCTTCTAAACCTACAGCCGCAGATTATTAAGCACCAGCATCGTGGCTCTCTCTACATTTATTCGCCTCTAGTGTCTGTTGTATCTAGTCCTCTCTGACATCTCATACCATCACAAACCTCTGAAGGCAAGTTGATAGTTGCAGTGAGGATGTCGAGTTATTTGGAAAAGGTGGATAAATCCTTAGCGTCAGGACCACCCTGCAAAGGGATTGGAAAGAAAACTGTATTGTTGGCAATGAGTAAAAATAAAATTGATGTTTGGATCTATCTGAGGAATGTGAATAACTGCCTGCGGCCCGGTAAATCGTGCAACATAAACCCGAAATCAGCCCTTCCGTCGAGTATGAGCTATTGAAGGCCCATAAGCCTGACCTTACCGTTCAGCCCATTGTGGATGGTATCGGTTCACGAATCAATCACATATCCAGCAGGTTTGTTAAAACGTCCATGAAAGCACTCATGACTTCGCATGAAAGATGGTCGATCTAAACATCAAGTCAGATGAACTATTGATTAGCTTCGATGTTAACTCACTGTTCATTAACGTGCATCTGTAAGTAGCATAGCGCTCTCTGTTCGGGAACAATAGCCTGAGTAGAGAACGAAACTCACAGTAAACCAGCTGATCGAAAAAATAAAAGTAGGCATTAGTCTATCATTTATCTCACACCAAACGAGACCGTATGTTCAAGAATAGGGCCTTGCCATAGAGTCACCAATGTTGACAAATCTGTATGTAGGAGACTTTGAGAGGACGGCACTCATAAACTTCAGTAGTTCATCAAAGATTTGGCGGCGCTGCGTAAATGATAGTTTTTTTAATTATGTAGTAGGATAAGAAGCTGCAGTTTGTAATTTGTATGGACGTCTTTAATTCGAACACAAACTTCACAGTGGGATAAAAGTCTAAAAGTGACACAGTGCCATTCCCTGATTTCCTGGTTTACATGAACGGAGGACGGTTAAAAACGACATATCGCAAACAACCGCAATATAAGCTTATACAAAATCGACTTATATTCTAAACTTTCCGAAAATTTTGAATTCCCACTCGGTTCCAAGCTTATTCCGAGATACCGTATTGCCTATAGTTCATTTTTCCTTGCTGTCCTCTCGCTACAGGGCGTGACCAAGGGATCGATTCAATCTTCTGACCGACTAATGAAGGAGTTAAGGGAAATTTATCGATCAGACAGTTACAAACGAGGTGAGTGGATGCAACTGGTCATTTTCACAACTCGTCATCTCTTCTTTCTCCACGCTTTCCCCCTCTCACTGCTTTTCGTGTGCTCACGCTTTTCTTGGCAGGAATTTTTACCGTAGAACTTCAGAATGATAATCTCTATGACTGGAAGGTGAAGCTGTACAAGTGAGTCCGCTTTGTTGGTCCTCATCTAAAGCATGGCTGATGTTCCTGTCCTTTTTCACAACTCGTTTCTTACTCTGGGTTAGATGTAATGCTTTCAGGCTTATTGACAAGTGCGTTTGTCTTCTGACCACTAATCTAACTCAATGACTTCCCACTCGATCTAGCTATGGTCAGACTTCCCGCTCAGTCTGCTAACACTTCACCATCGGTTTAGAACTAATGATGCATGCGTCAGAACTGTATTAGGGATCTTTCCCTTCGAGTATGCATCATTTGAACCCCACTTACCTCCCACTTTTCTACTCACCAGGAGAATAGCTATTTCACATCCGTTTTTTTGGAGGAGCTTAACAGCACCATCCTCATTATACACGTCAGCTAGAGGTGGGAAATACCTCAGCTAGTGTACCGCAATACATAAACTAAAAGGAAAATAAATACAACAGTTGCATGCCAACTGAGCTAACAGCAACGAATAGGCATCGTTCCGGTAAGCTACCAGCCGGCTACTAGGCAACAAGAAAAATTGTTTTATGGTACGAAATGCGATCGTAGTTGGTGGGGGAGGCTAAAAGGGATGGGGAGGGACAAAGAAACTCACAGCAGGAACGCCAATGAGGTCGACTCCTAGCGATGTCATCAAGTTTATCTAGCCAAACGTGTTCATCGTCTTTTGCTCCCCAACGAGGGAGCCGTGAAGCTTCAACTGAGGCCAGCTCCGAAGTGAGGGCCTTAATTCCTCTGGACCAAAACATCGCTTGGCCACCCCTCCTCTTCTTCTTCCATCCACACCCCCGGTGAGCAAACAACGCACGCAGCGGAAGTCGGTGGGCTGGCATGCGTAACACGTGGCAGAGTCTTCGGAGTTTGGTGCGTGAAATAACGGTGTTGAGCCGCTCAGATCCTTTTTCTGTGCCGTAAACAAGGCGTCGAACACGCTCGTTGCTCACTCGGTGTTCCCACCAGATATGAGCCAAACTGCGAAGGCACTGGTGGTCGAACGTAACTAGCCTCTTTATGTCCGCCGATCTTATGGGCCATGTTTTGCAACCGTACAGTAAGGTCGAACGTACCGCTTCATTGTACACTCTACCCTTCAGGGCGAGAGTAATGTCGCGCCGCCGCCATAGGTGGCGAAGGTCAGCAAAAGCACTTCGAGCTTTTGGTAAACGGTTCGTGATCTCGTCTTCGCTCTCATGGGCGCTGATACAATTTCCCATGTAGTTGAATTTCCAAACGACTTTTAGCTGATCCCCACCATGCGGACTGGTGTCCTGGATCAGCGTAATGCTGATGCCTTCCTTTTGCCTTTGAGCATGCAGTTATGCTAACTGAACTCTCTGTGCTACCCTATGGCGCGTTTCTAGTGTACACTAACTTTGAATACACTTTCCCCCGGGTTTTGGGACTTGTTCAGCTACATCGCAATGTGACTGCACTTTAGCGGGATGCGATGGTTTGCGTACCTCCGTGACCCATTGAGCTACGCTGGATGACACTTTCCAAGTGCCTTCAGAGCCATTCATACCAGACAGGTCAATGATTAAGAGTCAGACTAACTTAGTCTCACAATCCACTTCTCTTCGGAAGTTGGGGAGATCGATGACCCTATTCCTCTGAAACTTAGCCATAGAGACAACAGGTCTACGGGTCATAGGCTCACAGCTCGATTGGCCTAGAGCAAGAGTGCCGCGCATTCTCTCTGACGGTGGGAGGGCGCCACCCGGTGTTCAATAGTTTGCTACCGCTTGCCTCAAGCCAATCAGTCCCTGGTCAAATTGGTGCAAATGCGCCAACTCCCACCTGCGGCTGCCCGTGGTCGCAAGTGCGTAACGTACTACCACCTTAAAACATATGTGAATTGTACCAACTCTCCAAATGCTGTGTATGATGGACCTGCAATCACAATTCCGAGCTGGACTTGCTCCCAACTGCCTTGTGAGTCAGGCTATTTGGCCAAAGTCTCCGGGTGGAATCCCCTAAGCTAACCTGCATGTACCCACCTGCGTTGTGGATCGGACTATTGAGTCAAAAGCTAGAGGCAGGGCACTACGAACAAAACCACTCCCTCAGAATGAATAGCTGTAAATTATCATCCGCCCTCACGACCACGTTAACATTGCTCTCTCCTCTACCCTCTCTTCTTCCCCTTCCATAGAACAAGAATCTGCCTCTGATCTCACTGGTGCTGCCATCGGTGCTCGTGACTCGTCCATCAAACCACGAGTCTCATTTCATCTTGGTTCTTTTAACGTCCGCACTTTGGGTCAGATCGGTAAACAAGCAGCACTGACTCTCACTCTTCACTCTCTAGGTGTTGATGTGTGCCGTGTCTCCGAAACACACATACAAGATAACAGCTTTGTAACGAATCTTCGACATCCTGGATCTGAATCTGACGACTATGACTACGCTCTTCGCGTCTCTGCTGATACCTAGTCAGGGACTGAAGTTATTTTCGATGTTTGGTGTCGCCCCTAGCAGGCTTGCTGATGGTAATCTACTCGACTGAATACCGGTGCACAGCTGTGTGGTTCCGCTTCAAATCCTAATGCGGTTAATAAGCACTGTACAAAGACAAGGTGACTTTATTGCATCCGTTTATGCTCCCACTGACTGCAGTTTGGATGGTGTCAAGGATGATTTATACTGCTATCTTTCATCCCTCCTCCTCATAGCAAAGATTACTGACATCGTGAGTGTTGCTGATGACTTGAATGCCCAAGTGACTCATCTTTCAGATTCTGATCAACACCTGAGAAGGCGCTTCGGAGTCGATGCATGCCGAACAGACAGTGGTGCTAGATTTCTGCATCTGTGCACCGATCTGAGTCTTTATCTCAGCAACACTGCTTTCCAGCACAAACCTTCACACCGCGTCACCTGGCGCCCACCGAATTCCTCACTGTACTGGACCCATATTGCCATTAGCTACAGATGACGCACATCAGTTCAAGACTGTCGGTCAATTTGTAGCACATGCCTGGATTACGACCATGCTCTAGTGCATGCACGCTTGGTGCGCATTGATCCCGCTTCAAAGAAGCGTCTAGCTTCTAATCTTCTTACCTGTAATTTGAAATCGCAGCCTACGGTTCAACCATATCATAACGAACTGACCCACCAGTTGTCATTGATGAATGAGGTTGGTGAGCCGAACGCTGACTGGGATCGTCACAAGTGTGCCATGGAGAGTGCGTTTGACACATGCTGTGCACCCAACTTGAGACGTCATAACTGTGTATGGATCTCTGAAGCGTCGATCAGTTGGATCGAAGTGCGTAAACGGGTTCCGGTGGGCGATGAGCTTCAGCGTGTCTGTAACTCCCGGAAACGATGTCTGATAAAGAGTCTTCGAGCTGACCAGGAATGTTGGTGGGTTGCGAAGGTTCCTGGGATGGAGAAAACCAGTGCTATTGGAAACAGCCGAGTGCTACTCCAGCTCATCCGGGACATGGGCCCGAGAAAACCATAAGCGAGACAACAGTTGGGAAGGATGGGCAGCTGATCCATTCTCAGCGTCACCAACTAGCCCGTTGGGCGGAATATTTTGTGGAGCAGTTCAGCAGGCCGACTGAGACACTGCTACTTACCGAATCACCTAAGCCGGCATGGGAAGTAGATATCATACCTACAATTTTAGAAGAGATTCGACGTGAGCTCCCGTGTTAAAACGGAACGGTGCTCCTGAACCCGACGACCTTCTCCCATCTTTGCTGAAAAATGGTGACTCTTTGTTGACTGGACTTTTTTCTTCTTTTAACACGATTTGGGAAGCTGAAGAGGTGCCTTCAGACTGGCTCTGTCCGTGGTTGCATCGACCACATATTAACTCTTCACCAAGTTTTAGAGCAGAGACACGCATACAGACTACTGACTATGGTCGTTTTCTCTGGCTTGACAGCCGCCTTCGACGCTGTTGATCAAGACAGCTTGTGGCACTGCCTATCTAAGAAGGGCGTGCCAGCTAAACGGCCTTCCATTCTGAAGTCCCTCTACCGTGATTCCCGGGGCCGTGTAAAGGGTCGATGGGAAACTCTCCTGAGTTTCCCACTACAAGTGATGTTCGCTAGTGTTGTCCTATAGCTCTTTTTCTCTTCAACTTTATGATCGAAATGATATTCAATGACTCGGTTCTTTCAGATACTGCTGGAATGGAAGTTCTACTATGTGACCGACTGACAAACCTGGAGGATGCGGATGACAAACTGTTCTTGGGTCTGACACAGTGATTAGGCAAACACCACTGTACAGACATGTGCATGGTGCTGCACGCTTCTGCATGTGCTCTGCACTTGCAAAGTACAAAATACTGTTGCAGGAGTGGACCAATACACCTCCGATTCTAGCTATCACCGAACAGCCACTGGAAGTAGTGGATCGGTTCACTTACCTTGGTAGCTGTGTCAACTCTGGTGGTCACATCACTGGGGAACTTACTTCACGTATCAGCAAGGGGCGTGTGGCTTTCCAGAGGCTCAGCCACCATCTATGGAGACTGCGGGATATCAGCTTGTCTGTAAAAAATTGGATTTATAACACTGCGGTATGGTCGGTCTTACTGTTGGGATCAGAGACCTGATCAGTTTGCGGCGGAAACATTGAACGCTTGTTCGTGTTTGACCACCGGTGCTCGCGAAGTATTGCTCACGTCTGGTGGGAACACCATGAGCAATGCTGGGATCCACTAGTTGGTTTTTGGCAGAAATCTTTCTGGTGCCCCACTCGAATGTTTGCTAAATCGTAGTCGATTGCTTTGGCTACACCATGTTCTCCTTATATCCGTGAGTCGGCTTCCTCCACGTGCATTGTACGCCGTGGCTGCACCAAGTTTGGCGAAATCTCGATGTGCCCAGTCCGTGGCTTGACATCAAAGCATGAGGAAATTGTCTAAGAGACTTGTTCAGGCTGATGCGTACCGTCTTTCTGGAAGGGGACCTCGCGACGGTTCACGCCAAAGGTTGCAGATCGTCAGACATGGCGAAGTCACGAATTCAATG